CCCCCCCACCTCGCCCCGCAGTCCGACATTTACAACTTGCACCTTGCTTTGGTCTCAGCAACCAGTTGCACCAGAGAGGTTTCGGCTGCTGGGGGGGAGGAGAGGTGATGCATCCCTCCCAGCAGGGAGGCTGCGGTCAGAGCCACCCTGGCCCCTTCGGAGTAGCTGACCTGCACCTTCTGCACCGCTTGTCAGCCAGCTCACGCCTTCTCATTGCTCACCAGGAGAAGATGTTGCCTTTCTCATGTCTGAAGGCCAGGAAAAGTGCCCTGAAAGCCAGACGCTGTGCTGGTCTACCTCAAGTGGCCATGAGAGGTTGTAAATGTCTAACGAATTTGTCACTGGAGGTATCTGGGCTTGCTGGTTTGCCAGCTGGGTGTATTTGTTGAGAGGATGATACTGATGGTAGCAATAAAATGTGATTGCTATGACATGCCCACTTTGAAAAACACTGTTTTTACTCCCCTTTTTAATTTTTTGGGTCTCAAAATAATGGTAGCACTCTTTTTCTTACCAGTGTTTCTACTTCTTATGATTTACCTGGTGTTATCTGGCATTTTTCTTAATTTAAAAAAAGGGATTATTAAAGCACTGGGACTTGAATATGTGTCTGCAGTCAGTCCCAGTCAGAGGGCAAAGTGAAACATGCAGATATCCACGGGGCTGGGAACGCTTAGACTGGTTGGTCCTCGGAGAACAAAATAAGCAGAAGGCTTTATATAGTAAAAGGTCCCTTTGGAAAATGTACAGACAAACAGATGCAAAGAGAATTAGCCACCAGCAAGTCAGGAGGTAGGAATGACTATGAAGTGAGCACGCACACCTGCCTGTTATAAATACTAACACCCAAGTCCACACGTGGTAGAATATACTGGAAAAGAATGACATTTTTTCCACATAACCTCTGTTTTTTCTCTCGCTCTTTTAATCTTGTAGTTATTGCACTGGAGGAGAAGATCATCGTCAGTAAACTTGGAGACAACGCTACACTGAGTTGCATTTATCGAGGAAGAGAATTGCACTTAAAAAATCTACGGGTATATTGGCAAATAGCTGACGATCAAGAAGAGTGTTCAGTTGTACATGCACTGATCTCTGGTCAAGACAATGAAAGTGAACAGTGTATTCACTTTAAAAACAGGACTCAGTTATTCTGGGATAGATTGGAAAATGGCGATTTTTCTCTGCTACTACTAAATGTCAGCCAGAGCGATGAACGTACGTACAAATGCGTAGTACTGCAGAAAACTGAATATACCAGAATGATTCACCAGGCAAAAGTGGTTCTCAGTTTAGCAGGTAAGAACTTGTACCACTTGCATACATTTGCCCAAATTCTCATTCCAGCTTTTCAAGTTCATGCCATTTCAATATTACATTTAAGCATACCCTTAACTTTGAAACATACTTCAGCCCTTTGCTGAAATGAAGTCTCCTTAATTTAAACATTACAGATAGGGAATCTAAAACTGGGAGAATACCCGTAACATCTGTTTATCCAGTGTGGGGTTTTTTTCATCTTGGTTTTCATTAATCTAGGGGCTCTTACACGTGGCTGGGTGACAGCAGCTTAAGAAGCTGCTTTCTTCCTTTGGGTTAGGCTTCAGCCTTCCACCCTTCCAGTAATTCTCTCAGCTCTCTGGCTTACATACCAAACCTGCAGGTGTTTCCCTTTCAAGTCATGGCGGTCGTGTGAAACCCAGAACTTCTGCTTCAGAACCCACATCAAAATTTTTGTCTTTTCAATACGTTTCAACGTGTCGATGACTGTTTCTTTTTCTCTTACTCTCCAGCTAGTTATAGCCAACCAATACTCAGTGGACCGATAAGAAACGGTGACAGCACTGGAGAGGAGGTGACTTTCAGCTGCAGGTCTGGCAATGGATACCCAGAGCCCAATGTTTACTGGATAAATAAAACGGACGACAGCCACCTGCCTCCATCAGAGCTAAACATCACCCCCCATGCCGATGGCACTTACAGTGTTTTTAGCACGCTGAAGGTTAAAGCCACTTCTAACATGCAAATAGAGTGCTCCATAGAAAATAAAATTCTGCGGGAAAATCTATCAGCCAACTGTAAGTCCCTTCATGATACTTCATGTTTTCTAGATAGCAGATATATCAACCAGTGTGTTTCTGTCTGTAGATACGCACTAACAAGGGGTATGCGTTAATTCAGCAGTTCCCAAAAGTGCCAAGAGGAGCGCAGTTTTTGTTTCAAGCTAGTTATGCTTAGCTATGGACTTTATGTTTACTTCTGACTTCTTCCACGCTGAAGTGAACACCCCATCAAACATGTTATGACAACGGCACTGAGAAGCCCTTGCGTCCGAGGCAGGCGCTGGGCTTCGCCCTTCGGCTCCTTGGGTACGTAGGGGAGTATGTACTCCTTGAGGAGTCAGGTTATTTTTCAGGGGGCACCGTCAGTAGATCCA